TGTGTGTGTGTGTGTGTGTGTGTGTGTGTGTGTGTGTGTGTGTGTGTGTGTGTGTGCGCGCGCGCTTTGTATCCAGGCCTCTAAGGCAAACGTATTTTTGCCCACATGGTGATAGTTTTTTTGTTGTTGTTTTTTTTTCTTTTACTTCTATTTTCCAAATTAAACAGTCAAACAACAGGTAACATGCACAGAAAAGGAAGAAACGAGATTTTGGGATAAAATCAACGAAATCATATACAGTATTCCCTGTCTGCAAAAAAAAAAGATAATTAAAAAAATTGTGTGATCATCAAGGTTTTGCAGTCTGCTTCACTAGCTAACTATATATAACTACAGCGGTCCCTCGTTATCGCGGTAGTTATGTTCTAACAATAACCTGCGATAAGTGATCCGCAAAGTAGCCAACTTTATTTTTTACAATTATTATAGATGTTTTAAGGCTGTAAAACCCCTCACTACACACTTTATACACTTTTCTCAGACAGGCAGGAACATTTTCACACTTTTCTCTCTTGTTTAAACACTCTCTAAGTTCAAACCTTGTAGAAAAATAAATGCAGTACTATAGAATCAAGCCAAAGGCACCCACTCGACGTTTTGTCGACATTGTTGTGTTTGTTGGGGAGAAAACTTACAAACATACAGTACAGCACTTTAGAGTCAAACTGACAAACTGATAGCGATTGAAGCATTTATATCACAAAATAGTGCATTTTCTGTAAATTCTGTGAATCTCGGGCCGCCATTTTCTTTGTGAGTATTTATTACACGGCGTGCTGCGTGGAAAAGCCTGTTCTAACGTTTGAGTCTAAGGTTTATTTGGAGCACCTGGCAGCTCTTTTTTTTCTTCTCATCAGTAAACTCTCTTCATACTCTTTCACATGATTTTTGCATCGGTGGTAGAATAGATTTGCTGTGTTTGAGTCTGAGGTGGGGACCGGTATGCACCATAATTGCATAGTACAGTTTTATCTGGTCTGTGTCAGACTTTTCATAACCAAACCCCTCGTTTTTTGACTGCTTTTTTCTGTTTGGAGCTACCTCCCATATGGAAAAGATATAAATCTTATAAAGTTTGTATCTGTCTTGTGTGAAACTTGTATGAAAAGTATACAAGAGTGAAAAAAAGATATGATCCCTAGAAAAAGTATATAAATGAAACTAGTATGTTTTGAAAACTTACTAAAACAATATATGAAAGTGGCCACTTTCATGACTAAATCATATAAGCCTTATATGATTCACTCCTCTCTTCTTCCTGCTTCTAGAAGATGTGAAAGTGTGTGAAAACTCTTTTTTTTTTTTTTTTTTTTGATAGCTATCTTTAAAAAAAAAAAAAGAAAGAAACTGCATTTATTATCACAGACCTCAAAATGAACACAAATAGCATAATCCAAAACCTTGCAGCCAACAAATGGGGTTCCCAGTTTTAAGTGAGAAAAGAGAATTAAAATAAAAAACAAAGCTTGGAGGCAGATTCAGAAGCATCAGTATTTATGGTTAAAACAAGAAGAGAAGAATATGGCTATTTCTAAAATGTCATTCTACTATAATGTTCAAACAAAATCAGAGTGACAGTATGGGAATCCAAATAAAAGTTAGGGGGCATAGTCAAATTAGAGAATGGAAAAGATGCAAATGCAAAGTTTTGACCCCTGAGATTTAGCCTAATAAGATTCGGGTGTATCACCTTTGGTGCAAGGGCCCAGTGTGCTTACTCTATTCCCAGGTCACACTCTTGGTTCAGCTTAGTGTTTTCAAGCCAGTTCCAACTTCATCAGATTTTTTTTTTTATAAAAGCGACAGTGGAGGTGCCTTCTGCACCCTCTGGAATACCATCAATTCTAATAATATTACATCAGTAGCATCCTTCAAGGTAAGACGCTTCGTTCATGTCCTCATCTATTTCTCCAGTGCATTTCTCAGTTGCTCCGATGATGCACAGTTTCTTGTATTTTTCCAGTTTAACTCTGCTGTTCGTTCAGGTCAAAAGAGCGACATCCCTGATGTCATGGCTTCCTTCACCGCTTCTCGAATTGTTAGTAATTGTTTTTTCTCTAGTCAATATGTGATCTAGAGGTTCTCACTTGGAATTCAAGAAAATTTTTCATTGGGTTCTTCCAGCTGAGTCAGTAACACAGAGTGGTGAGAAGAGCCTGAAGTCTATCTATGAAATGGGAGTATGTTAGAACTAGAGATGGCACGATATGACTTTTTTTATGTCCGATACCGATATCATAAATTTGGATATCGGCCGATACCGATATGAATCCGATATAGTGTGTTTTTTAATCAATAAAAATGTTTTTTTTAATATCTTGCTGCATTTTGTATAAGTTCATACTCAAGTTTAAAAAAACAACAACAACAAAAAACAAACACTAAA